AAATACCGATGTTCTGTACCGCATATGACATCATACTTTTCTTTCGTAGTTATCTCGAAAACTATGGATTGTACAGGTAGAGTTTTGTGCATTTTTTATGTATTTTAAGCAAGAAATCTGGTTATGCGAAGTTTGAGCACTTTGTAGAGACATTAGGTTAATTGGAAAAGACGGAGAGAGGAAACATGAGCAATCGGCTTCGCCGGGAATCGAACCACGGACCTCTGGAATATCGACCCAGCGTGCAGAACCACTACACCACGAAGGCACGCTAGGAAGGCTGGAGAAATACCTTATAACCTTGTAGGTATTAGTTGTAAGAAGAAAAAAAGCGCAACTGTTATCTTAACTTCTCAAATATTTTGATGTACTGTGAACCTGGTTGGCTCAGATATCTGAAGATATGATGCATTGTTACAAAGTATCAGATGAGTGCAGTAAGAACTGAAAGCCAACAATTGAAATAATTAAGTAAGAAGTCTTTTTCATTTCAATATCAACAGCTAAATAAAAATTACATCAATTTTCGCTTATAAAAACATGAATATTAAGCACTAGTTATAGCGACAATTAAGCTTTTCGAAGAGAAAACGAGAAAAATCCCTGTCTACCAACAACAGGATTTGAACAACGGATATTCCAATAATAGTTTTGACTTGCTGACCACTTTCATCATGAAATCACGCATGTGGGAATGCAATAATTCCTTATCTTCTCCTGCACTTAAAGGGCGACTAAGCAGATGGGCGACACTTAGCTGTCCAAATACAAATGGTAACAAACTGTCATGCACCGCGTTTTAGTTCGTTCGGCATTATACAGACTTATCAACAGGATTCGAATCATTACTAGCTGGACATGCTAGCTATATACACTAAGGAAGCATGACCGGGGAAATGCTATAATTCCTTACACAGTGATATTTATCATTAAAAGCTTTGAATGAAAAAAATAAATAAATTATACATATAATTATTTTTGATAGCAAAATTTTCCAAAATATTGGAATATTTCTTGAAATGAATTATCGTCATGATTTTTGAACAGATATTAATTATAAAAAAATTGTAAGGATATTTCTGTTACTAGTTTACAGAACGAACCTGCTTACATTATATTACACTCTTCAGGAATAAAAGGAAGATCCTCCACAAGCAGATTATCTTTAGGAATCACGGAAAGAAAAATATTTGATATTTTACCATGCTGAATTCCAAAATGATGATTTTAGGACTTAAAAAGTAAATTTTAATATTTCTTAAACTTTTACTTAAGGGATTCCTGTACTTAAAAGGGTTAATTCAAGCAAGAAATCTGAAAACCAGAAAATATGTGCAGTGGTATGTGACGAATTATCAAGTAAACTTTTGCACATTTTACTAAAGCAGAAACTCTTTCTGACATTCCTAAATAGGGTATAGTGGTTTGCCTCAAATACGTAAGGCATTAACAAACACGGATGGCACATAAAAGAACTTTTCTATTATCGCAGCATATATCTTCACAACAAATAAGTCCCAATGACAATATTCCATTATTACGGAATTTTCTTGCAGAACGGGTGTTTTCTCACGAGCAAAAACTATGTCGTCCTTACCAAAACAAAATTTGAAATTTTTTGTAGAGGACGATAGTGGAACAGCCATTTACAAAAACAATGTTTAAAAAGAAATTTTTCATTGAAACTGCAAATAAATCAATAGTATAAATTTCAATGTGAAGCTGTCTTTTTTAACTGCAAATTATTGATTTTGAAGAGTACAGCACAATTACTCTCGTCCAAATACACGGTTGGCCATTATTCTTCTCGAAGCTTAAATTACTACTCATTTATTTTTAAAATAATACACTAATACATAAATAAAAATATAAGTTCATAAACCTGAGTAGCTTATTTTAAATGTTATGTTTTAAACTTATTAATTAATTTTCGTTCCAGCACGAAAGTTAAAACTATGAAACTAGATGTAATGTAAAACAAGATAGACCTGTATTGACGACGTCCGCCATGTTTTTTTCATAAACACTAAAGCAAATGAAATTTTCACTAAATTAAACTTGAACAAGCTGAGTATAAATCTACGCTGGGAACTGCGAGTTCTTGCCAAAAAAGTGAATTCTTAATTGTTCTTTTAGTTAGTTTTTTCGAAATGTTAGAACTAAAAAGAAAAAAAAATCTTAAATACTCCCGGAAAGAGCGGGCAAAAGACATCAAATAAGCACGACTTTTAGTTTTACCCATAATGCCCTGCGGTACCGTAAAACTAAATTGATTCTTTTTCTTAGAAGTCTCTTTCTCCTCTTTTCCTTATGGGAGAAAAAGTTGAAAAAAAAAACCGCGGTATAAAACAAACAAAGAGAAGCAGAAAGTAAAATATACGTTCAAAGAATTCATCAACTCAGCCAATTTTCGCCATTCGAAAAACATCAAAAACGATAAAAGATAGAAGAGGGGGGGGGAGAGGTTAAATGTAGTGGACAACTTATATTTCAACGACTTGGCTTCCTAAGCAGCTACAGTTAATGTCTTTAAAGCACGAATTAGCGAGACAGATTAAATAATTGGACGAAACTCTTCAGTGTCTTATTTAGACACTGGATGTAAAGTTTCTCTTAAAGTGCTTAGCCAAGAATTGATTTTCACTTTACGTTAATTTTGTTTCGAATTCCTTCATTAATCTAGAGTTTCTCATTTCTCTTCTTGCAATAGAAAATTCGGCTACTAGTCATTTGCTATTCACTATATTCCGTAATTTAAATTATGTTGTAAAAAATAACAGATAAACATCTTCATTTGGAAGGTAATCTTATATTAAGAATGAACGAGTTATAAATTTTCAAAATAATCTCAATAAATAGTCATTATGCTATACTGCTATCCCACCTTCCTCTTTAATTGCATATAAATACTATAATAGGTGTTACTTTATTATAATGGAAATGAAGGGTTTGTGATACAAAATACCAATATTTATATAAAATGAAGAAATTATGTACTTCCGTAGTTAACAATGAATATCAAATATTAGACTTCTGCTCTTCATTCCAATAAATTGTGCAAATAAAAAGCAACAAATACAATGGAAATGCACAAAACATAAGTGAGAAAAGTAAATCTTATTCCCTTTGTATATATGTAAGCATTAGTAATTATCAAACTTGCACCGCGGTTGAAGGTAAACACTACAGCGTTTGATTAAATTATAAGGTATCTTCTATCTCCTTTCCGCATGCCTTCGTGGTGTAATTGGAAGCATACTCGACCCGTATTCGAGAGGTCCACGTTCGAGTCCCGGCGAGGGCACTGCTCATTTTTCCCGTTTCCAGCATCAAAAACCTAATGATTGTACAGTCGCGCCCGAACTGAAAGATGGTGGACGATAATTCGTCACGACCAGGATTTGGTGATTAGGCCCCCTCCTTCCCACTCTTACAGCCAGAAAAGTACTTACATGAATGATGATAACATCGCAAATATGCATTTTCTGAATAAAAATATTGTAAGTGAATTTTCACATAATGATTTAGAAGAAGGAATAACTAATAATTTTATCTCTATATACCATATTTTGTTTTAGCTAATAACTATTTACTGAAAAATGAAGAATGAAATTTATACACATTCAAAATCTGGAATTTTGCAAACATTAATGCTACGTGTATACCAGTTACAATAATTTTTTATGTATGCTTCTTCCTCTTTCTAATCTTTTATGTCTTTGTAAAAGAGATTAGTTACGTAATGATTTGTAATAGTTAGCAAAATAAGTTTAAAATTCTATCAACTTCCGTACGTACCATTAATTTTCAGATGTTGAACGCGTAAGTTTCTTTTCAGAAAACATTTATTTAGTTAATAAAAAAGATGAAATAATAGACGTAAAATACTGTTTGTTCCTAGTGCTCATAAATCATTACTTGAAAATTCACTTCATAATTTTTCAGTACGAAAATATTTGTCTGCGACGTTATTATCCTGCAATGATTTGTAGTTTGTTTCGTTCGATGTTTTAGTTTTTCTCAACAATATTTTGTAGGACAATGTTTTAAACTGCGAAGTTTTTGCCCGCTTTAGTTTCTGCTACGATATCTTAGAACTCAAATTCCTTCTTCTTGTTTTATTTTCTCTTACTGTGTTTTTTACGACGATGTTTGTTCCTTACATTGTTTTCTCCTCTACATAATCGTCCACAGTGCTTTTAGAGCACACCGGTGGGGACAAAACTGAATCCTCGACTTCAGTTTTGTGTATGTTTTGATTGTACGATTTACTATTTCTCTAACAAATCGATTTCTTTATAATTTTTCTTTATACTTATCTAGGAATTAAAGTGCTCACTAACGTAACATATTATATATTTGATCCCTTTTTAATAGTAATAGTCATTTAAAAAGGATTTTGCAGTTAGTTATCAATAATTCTTTGTGGGAAGAGTCTTTATCAAAATTAATTTGTTAAGTCATAGTTTCTGCTATGGAGTGTTATATTAGAGTTGGGCATCATATGCGCACATCATCGAATGCGTACAGAGTAAATAATAGGGTGTGAAAAGTTTCAGGGAAACTTTAGAAGCAAATCAGGAAGTCAAAAATTAACCATTCTGCGTAAGAACATGTAGACGCAAAAGCTACCTGCCAATGTTCGAGAGTGTTGTTTGCCAGAAATTATGTTGGCCCGTACGAGACATTTTCATTCAAAGCATTGATGCTAGTGGAACAGGCTGCATTATTACTCACTGAACCTGGCTGCATTATTACTCACTGAACCTGGCTGCATTATTACTCACTGAACCTGGCTGCATTATTACTCACTGGTCACTGAAATTGCTGATATGCCGTTTGTTTAAGGTGAAAGGAAATGGAAATGGAAGACCGAAAAGCTCAACACGATATGGTACTCATACATTGAAGCTTGGTTGCATGGAAATAACATAAAACTTATTTTCTGCTTAGTACCTCAATTATTCGAGTAGTCCTCCACTAATTTCTTTCTTTGGACCCTGAAGCAGACCTGATTACAAGAATGGTTGAGGCAGCAACACGTATCCACGACAAGCCCGGCATTTCTGAACACTTTCACCGTTTGATGCGTAGACGTTGTAAGCGTTTACTGCAAAAGAAATGACCTTTGAACACTTCTTCCGGCATTGCAAATATAAAGTGTGTCTAACAAATATGTTACATTCTTTTGCATGGGTTCCTTTTTTTTAAATTCTTTCTGTACCAAAAGACGGTACAGGTGGAGTAAACGGTTTGTTTTTATGTTATTGACTGACCTTTAAAATTTATCTAAATAATTATTGATTATTATTTATCTATATTGCATCATCCATATATATATATATGTTCATGTAATACAAAATTACATCATTATAGTGTACATTTTACAAAATGCTGTGTAATAAATATTGAGGCAGTTGCTCGAAACTCAAGATATAGATTTCGTTGTAACCGAAAAATTATCTGCGATTAAAAATTTTGCTTTTAAAAAATATAAAAGCCAAATGACAGGAACATTACAAAATCACGTTGTTTAAAGCCTTTCTAAAACTTTTTGTCTTTTATATTTTTAGTAAAAGCAAACTTTCAGTGGCAGATAATTTTCTCGCTGTAATAGAATCTATATCTTGAACTTCAAGCCACTGCCTCAGAATATTTACTATACAGCTTTTCAATATCCAACGTTTGAAGGTGCTATATTTTCTATTTCCTCTTTACCTTCATTATTAATGTACAGGATTTCGTTAGATTTTGAAATTTCCTTGATGACAGATATCACTTTTTTTAATCAAAGGAAATTTGTTAAATTACATAGGGTTATCAACATTTGCGTAATTTTGGAAACCGAAATATATTGGGAAGTTTTAGAATAGGAAGTAGAAGCATAGAATTTAGGAGTTTCTATACATATTGTATCTTGTCCTATTTATACTTGATAATCTAGCATATAGGTGTATTTTATAGTGCATTTTTCATTTTTGTGTTTATACTCTCTTTCTTCTTATCCCATTTAGTCTCCTTTCACTTCATTCTCAATACAGTTATATTACCTGTCATCATTGTGACACTGCCCGGGTGGTTTTAGAGACAATAGCCATTTTCTGGTTCCAAATTCCCCTTTCAGCAGCCCTTTCATTGATATTCATGTCATATAGCATATGAGGCATTGATTTCAATGATGTATAACAACATAAAATATTATATAAATTCCCATCACGGTTATGTGGTAAGAATTCATGTTACGCATGCATTTTAATATTTAATATGAATTTTTTAAAATTATTTAACAAAAAATTTAGTTTTTGTATTTATTGTTAATTCATTAAGCTCGATAAGGTTGCTGAACTAAACAAGCTCCTTAAAGCATGTAGTATGGAAACTTTTAGAGTTCCATGCGCATCTGAAAAAATTCAGTATTATATTTAATAGTAAATTGCAAATGATGGAATTATTAGCATATTACACCATTCGTATGGTTTTTATAAATTGAATGTAAAGCGTTTTCAGTTGCTTCAAAAATATTCCTTCAGAAGCTTAATTTAGATACGAAGCAAGCATTTTTTCGGACATTTGCAAACATTTTTTCAACCGCTCTTACCGATTAGGGAGAAAGAATGTGTAGATTTAAGCATGTCTTCTAGAATGCCTTCCGTCCATACTGGCATACGAAATGCATCCTACATAAGTTGTAGATCTGTATTATTCTGCATAAATGCATATATAATCTGAAGAAGTTGGCTTAAGCAGTTTGGACATCCAACCAAGTGAAGCAAATTCTCTTATAAGAGGTATACCACTTATTATTGCAATGTAACCCGTGTTATATGATCTTTTCTTAGGATATGCGTCGGCCGAAACGAATTTTCCTTTGTTTTTGAAGCAGATAAATCAAATTCCTGCAAAAATGTTTTCCTTAATTTTGTTGTAGTGTCGGATTGCTTCAATGACCACATGATAGTTCAAAATATTAATGATTCTTTATGAATTCATTTATAATAATGAATTACTTTATATGTGGATTTATAAGATTTATAATTTAAATTAACCAAATGTTTAGGGAGGAATTGTTGTAATTTAATTTGAGGGAATTTCGACTTTCAAATAGACATTTTCCTTCATTTAAACTTAACTTTTTTTCCTTTAATTCTACTTTTCTTCCTTTTTTATTCCCATTTGCATTTATTTCAAAAATATCAAATTTAATTAGCATTTAACAGATGTCCCGGGCGTCATAATATATCAATTAGTGGTAACAGTAGTAGTTGAATTAATTTGAGTCGTAGTTAAAAGCCAACCTATATTTGATTCTTCTGAGAACTATTTGTAGAACACGACATAACACTGTCACAGAATAGAACGATAATGTTATTTATTATTTGTAGCATACCAAGACTCGGTAAGAGCTTACTATTCAACCTCTTTAAGTGTTCAGTATAAATAACCATTCCGATAGTTAAATCTTAAATTCCTACTGTAAGAAAAAGGCTATCTGTTATCGAAAATAGTATTTAAACCATTTTTGCATTTAAATTATCCATCGTATTCTCATACTGCTTGCAGATAACATTATTATGTTGATTTAGGTTTTGTATTTATTGTTAATGTAATTAGTAAATCACAATCTACAACTCGGAGTCATTAAATCATTTTGACTTAAAGATCAACATCCTGAAATGACACAGCTACGACAACACTTACGAATTCAACGGAGTTTGCTGAAGAATTAATTGCGAAAAGTTTTTGGTGGATGAAATTGAATGTCTGAGAGACGTATGTAACAGTGTAGATGACAATACGATAGACAATTATTCAAAGAAATGGGTATTAATTGCAGCTTTTATGAAAGCATAAATGATAAATTTTACTGAAATTGGGGTCATAGAGCTAAATAAACATTTAAGCTTTGAAATCCAGTTTTGAATCCGCATGAAACTGATTGGTAGAAAGATGCATTTTAAATGCAGTCCGTGCCACTAAGTTTATGATACGGAAGAAATTCTGATGAAGGAAAAAGGGTAAAGGAATGTCTTCAAATTTTATGAGATGAAATTCTGAATTTTGTAAACAAGATAAAACAGTAGGCGGCTCATAATTTAATAAAAATCAAATGGTATATTTACTTTACTCGGTTCAATTATTCCTAGCATATGAATTCATTAACTAAATGAGGAAATCAAGCAGGCAGATTGCTTAGCGCAAAGTATTGACTACTAATTACTAATCAGATTTATAAACGAACGTTTTTATATTATATATAAGATCTGTTTTCAATAATTAAAAATATATGTGTTCATTTATATTGCATAAAAAATTAAGATAATTTTTTTTCTAACATTTTTTGTTACATTATTGATTGCTTGCCTTTGTACTTCATTCATAATTTTAAGTAAAGGTATTAATAAACCTCTTACTTCGATATTTTTCATTGAACAGATCTAAGATTAAAGTAGAATAAATATATAATAATAATTAATAATCGGCTTTACTGATACATTCGTTTAAAAAAAACATCTTCGCAGAAGGTCATAATTGACTAGAGTCGTCGGTGATCGCTTGACAAAGTGTTCATTCTAATTCTAGTTGATTTCATTTGTGTTTTTAAACTTCAAGATTAATTTTTAGTTTTGTTCTGCCTAGGAAATAAATCAGCAATAACCTTTAACTCCTCTCAGCTGATTTCTGGTGTAATGGAGATTAGTATGAAGTAAGCTTACCTGCTTATTATATATCTTAATTAATATATATAGAGAGAGAGCAACCCTTAACCATAAGAAAAGAAAAAACATGTGATTCGAAACTCGTCTAACAGACACTGAATTTTAAGGGAATGATCCCATCTTAAAATAAGAATTCTGAGAAATTTGGTGAAGCTCTTGTTCATTTTGCTGAAATTCAATTTAGCTAACATACACGAAGCCATTTATTAATTCACGTAGACGTACTAATTTTCAAGTTCAGTAGGCAAAATCTCAAGTCTAAGTTGCCCGACTGTAACACTTACATACTCTTTCTGAGAGGGGAGGTTTTTTTTGGTTTGTTTGTTTCTTTGACATGTTCTTTAAGCTTCCAAAAATATATTGGAAAACAATTTTATTCAAACTACTTTCATGGACATAGGCATACACTTTAGACAATTCTGATTCAATGTACTTTGGAAATCTTTCATAAGGATGCTCCACATCATAAACAGATCGAATCTTAAAAATTGCAGAATTACACCAGATAAATTTTGTTCTGAACTTTGATCTCCGAGTTACATGCTTAATAATCCTTCAGCCAACCAAAATTTGCTAAACAAAGTTTAGAGTGAAAGCCTTGTTTTCACCATAAAAGCAGTATTTTCTTTGTTAAAATCAATAATATCGCTCCAGGTTTAAAAACACACGTCTGTTTAAAAAGCGGATATTCTACTAATTATCTCTATGTCATCGAATAATGCCAAAATACTATCAACAAATATATTGTTTCTAAATTACTCACTTTGTGTCATTGATAAGCAATACATTATGCTATTTGAAAGATAAAGTTAAACCCGTGAGCTTAACAACCCGCTTTGTAGATAGACTTTATCCCTTGATAATTTATCAAAATGTAAAGGTGAAACATATCTTAAAACCTCTGTTCACGTTTTTTAGATGAATGTCAGGCGGAAAATCCGTTCTTGTAATTTCGATAGATATATATGCATTCTGGGTTATTTAATAATTTCATACGTACATGAGGTACCAAAAATAAGAAGGAATCACATAAGTTTATATATAATTGATTAATATGTATAAGGAAACATAAAACTTATCGCATAGTTTCAAGAGTCGTTAAAACGTTAGTATTACTCAGAGCTATCACCATAAGAGTAAATAATATTGTAGAATATAACTCCAAATATACAAACTAACTGCACAGCAGTCGTTTCAGATAACATAAAAATCTATGTAATTGAACTGCTTTCTTTAAAAAACCAGATTTTTAAATATTTATTTAAGGTAAAGGAGAAAATTATATTATTTCGGTTAACGTATTTTATTTCAGCAGAGTTAAATAAATAAAATATTTTTCTTCTTAAAAAGAAAGATGCAAATCCCAGTTTCTTTTAAAAAATAATAATAATGATAAAAGGAAAATATATTATTATTTCAACACCCTAAATCAGGTATTATTGTTTTCGCTATGCAAAACCGAGCTTCTAGTGAAATGGAAATGCAATGCTACGTCTTGAGCAAGACTTTTCTTAATGAAATAAGTGCAAAAATCTTTATGTGGCATTAGGTTATGGTGAAATAATAGCACAACGATTCCTTTCTTCTTTTTTCCTTACACTGATAAAGTAACGGTGTTACACTGCATATCATAAAAAAGGGTGTCCCATAAAGAACGCAAAGGCAGTTATTTTCTTTGAAATGCCCGCTATTTCTATACTTATAAGTTGGCAGCACTGAACGTTATACGAGTTTCATCTGTTGTCTCTGTGGTTAGTATTTACGGAGCGTCGAATTGCGTCGAATTGTCATCTATTTTCTGTACCAGTAGCGCTTCATGGCGGAACAGCATTTTAGAACTAGCAATAGAGAAAACTTGCAATGTAATTATAATTTTAATTAAGCATTTATTTATAATTTCAGCCTTTACAATCTCTTATTTCCGTTTCCTCATCATAATGCAAATCAGTTCAGATTGCATTTGAGTGTTTTGGATTATAAGTCAGAGCTTATTTTTGCCTCTCGAGGCCACGTTACTAGGTTTCGCAAGCTCTGATATGATTGCAATTCTTCGGCTTTGCACTGTTACTTCTGCTATTAGTAATTTGTATTATTACTGTTACACTGGTGAGACGTTTTGAACCAACTTCGCTTTAAATCAATTGTGTAGTCTTCGACTACTAAGCTTAACTTTGGAAACTTGACTATTTAAGTTGCATCGCCATAAATGGTGGCTGATCTTGTCAAGCGCAAGATGTGCATTTATGTTCAATTTAATAGAAAGGTTGTTAAAATCCTTTTCAACACTCTATTGTTACGTCAGACTAATCGCAATTCGCTCTACGTCTGAAGGAGTTTTATACTAGTTAATGCTACTAAAGTAAGTTAAACTCTATAAACTTATTATATAAAACAAATGAAGTGGAACGTTGTGCAAAGACTGCTCGCAAACCCTCAAAGCATCCTTGTGTTAGTCATTCTACGAAAATATCGCCATCATGAGTGATAATGCTGCTGTCTATCCGTGAAATCTATTCGCCGACTTTCTGAGCAATTGAGTATTTCCAGAGCCAGCATCACTGTGACCGGATGATTTCCTGCAAACCTAACGTAAATTGGCCACAACATCTTGTGATTTGACGCGATATTATTTCTTTCTGTGGTGGTATTTGAAATCGCATGTATACGTCAACAAACCACAATCACATCACAGATTCAACTTGCATTTTCAGAATTAGAGGTGCAAATATGCCGAAAATTTATGGAAAATTTCATCGAAAGAGTGAGAGTGTGCCTACGGAGTGTTGGAGGGCATTTGAGTAATATCGTACTTCATACATATCAGAGGTACCATACATTTCAAAAATATGTAAGTATACAAATATGTAATATGTAAATTACTTAATTTCATCAATAAATTTGTATGTTATTATGCAGTCAAATTATCAGTCAGTTATTATGCAGTTTGTGGGATAAACAAAAATTATTTGCATGACGTGAGAATTGACATAACATCACCACGCTCAATTAGCTTATTTCTAATGAAGTAGCAGTTCTTAAAGATAAGGAATTGCGATTCAGCATGTTTTTCAAAATTAATGAAACAGCTTCTTGTTAAGTATCTATTCCATTCCATTATGTATACATGCACATTATTTAAATCAACTAAAATGTTAATGCTTTTAAATTAAATTACAACCAGCTTATTCCCTGATATTAGTTTTCTACTGCATTAATTACCACTACTTAGTAACATAATTCAGATTTTTTCAGAAATTGAGTGAACCATTTTCCGTTGTAATCCTTAGTATACTTTACAGTGCCATTCCTTATGTTAAATGCAATTAATTTCGTGCTATAGATTTAATGCGACACAGTCACGTTACAGCTCAGTCTAAGATTGAAAGAAATGCAGTAGATCTCGAGAACCTTTCAAATCGAGAAAAGCGTTAAATTTGCGAACGTTAGATTTAAAACAAAAACAGTAACGTAAAAAAATCAAACTTTAGTGTCCAATAGATAGCTCGCGTTACAGCTGAGACCTTCTTCAGTTGCAATCGATTAGCGGAAATCTAGGCCAAGGTCCAGGAATGGAACAACTCAACTCGACCACATTCCCATCGTCTGCTTGGAAAGAACTAATGCCAGAGGAACAAAAGAAAAAATGATGGAATTCACTTGCTATTTTAAAGGATTCACTGCCATTTGCTGAAATGAACACTAGCGAAACCTGATGTTTTATCAGAGGAGATGATTATAACATTTCTCCTCCATGTATGTTTATAGTTAATTATAACTTTTTTCACATTCTTACCAGTTTTTATGTACTTGATAATATGCCTAGCGAAATAGCCCAGTCATAAATTTTAAAGAAGTAGGAAAATATTAATCAGGTTTTAACATTAATATAAAAATAGCGGGAAAAGAAAAACTGAAAATGCCTAAAATGAAAAATAATTACTTTCATTAAGCTATGTAAACTAACTACACTATTAAAAGTTTACAAAAGTAATAATTGGTTAATAATAGGTTTCGTGCTATTTAAGAAAATCTGAAAAAAACTCTGATCTACAAGAAGTCTGAAAAAATATTTTCTTACCTTTTGCTGGGCAGCACAATCACATTCACACATCTATAAATAAATATATACATATATAACCAGAGATCTATACATAGCGGGCGCCAAGTCGCCCAAATGACAATTTTAATGGCGCCCGTAATTTTCAGCATTGTTATAATTAAAGAATTTCTTTAATATAAGAGTTTTTAAAGTTTCCTGTTCACAAAGTCGAGATATAAATATAAAGTAAACTATAAAATCTCCATTTTTCTAAGTACTATGCATTAGTATTTAATCACATAGGATATAAAATAAACTACAGTCAGGATCAATAGCAAAGTGTTGAAATTACTGTCCTTCCACGGCAATCGCGACTGTAAGAACAGATACACGTACTCATTCCTTACTGATGCTTTTGCCAAATATATTCGATGAATTCGATCCGTGAGGCAGGGTATTTTTGAGGCTTTATTTCTTTCTTTAACTCATTGCACCTTAATTGCAGAAAAATGAATTATTCGATAACAACTGAAGATCACAATCATGATGCCTTAAAACATCTCTTACTAAATTACACAGGGGAAGTGCTTTCTTGACTACCATTACAAGCATGCTTATTTACCTGGCATATGTGCTTAACGAGTTAAATGTTACGACGTATGTATTTAACGAGTTCAGAAACCGTCATTAGCAGCTACCCAATGACGGCCATTTTATCCGTGGTTGGACAGCATTTCTTATGTTTTGACCACATATTTGATTTTAAACATTTTCAAAACTAAGCAATGCTTTATTCCAAACAGAATACACCAGGGTCAATCTCCAGTACTTCTTCATTTCTAACAGCAAATATAATTTTTTAAGCTGTGCTCTTGTTTTAAGGATATAGTTTATTGTTTTAAAGCCTTTGTTAGATGAGCTCCAGTAATTCTTAGTCAGTATAGAACAAAGTTCTGCAAAGTCCTGTGTATGTTGCGGTGTTAAATTTTTGAAGATTATTTTAGATTATTTTGAAGATTATTTTTAAATATCATTTTTAAAGATAATTTACAGAAAATAAATCGCACTGCTAATTTAATAAGCCGATACCTTACATCCAGATTCAAAATGAAAATCAATAACGATCTCTTAGCTATTCTAAAGTTAGAAAATTTACTTGATTAAATATTTTCTTGCATATGTTAACGAATTTCCGATCGATAAATGAATTTTCATTTGTTCAGCAGATTCAATACTTTAGTTTATGCTCTGTTCTAAAAATAAAGTTTTGATTTAATATCTTGTAAATTTGAAAAGAAATGAATATCTTACTCTGTAACGCACCGTGATTAGGGCGATGCATACCGAACAGAAAGGTTTCAAATTCAAAGGCCTGATCAAGAACGAATGGATAAAAAATGACAATAACTTTCGATTAACATATCTCATGCTAAATACGTATATATAACACTGTATTATAATTCATCCTCAATCTCGCCACAGAGCATATATTGAAGCAAGGACTGCGTATATCTTGGGATTAATTCCACTGAGAGTGAAAAACATTACAAGTTATATAACTTGTAATGACTAACAGGTAATATTTCAAATAAGAGAGACTTGTTTGAAACCATATTTGCGACATCACATGCCGGGAACTGATGACGAAAGCACAAAATCTTTTACGATCGTTTAGTTTTCAGAAATTTATGTTTTCAAAAAATATGTACAGTCTGACTTCGTCTTGTGAGACTGCCTCAAAACCAATTCCATAACAAGTCGCGCAATCGCTAAAATTCATTGCTAGTTATATCAGATACATAAACAAAATATCTACACAGAGTTGCTACATAAATCTGCGTCGCATCAACATGTATTATAAGGAAGAAAATTACAAGTAATATCCGAAACACTGACTGTGCGATCAATACTTAGTTACAGAAACGTTCAATTTCACATGAAAATGTGTCTGAGAGAAAATATTGCAGAAGCAATCAGAAACACTGACGGTGAGGGTCTTGTTGAGTTCTAGCAAAGCACTGATGGTGCTACCTAATACTAAGTTACTTAAAACATTCAACGTCGGTTTCAATATATGTCTGAAAGATGAACATTGCTAATGATATCAAAAGCACTGATAATGCGGCTTGTGGTAAGTTAAAAAAAATTCAGCGCCACTTGAAGATTTATCTGGAAGAAAACATAATTGTCTTGCATTCTATGTTATCATGCACATCCATTCGACGAAGGACAATTTGAGCTTCTAAAAGTTCTTGAGCTCAGTTTGAGAAATGAACATACATTAAAAAGAATACAACGACCTTGAAAAATATTTACATTTCACCATCGTATTCTTATATTATTATGAAATGTTAATCAAATTGCAGCAGACAAATACTTCTAATATAGAAAAGTGAAAATAACACGCCGAATTACAATCATTAAGGTGTTTAGACAGAAAGGAATCAGCGGTAATTTTTATAAATTTCAAATAGCCAGAGATTACTCTCAAAGGTTTGACTATAGAATCTTCGAAACTAGTACTGCAATTTTTAAAAAATTACCGCTCAGTCTTGCTGTCTTTAATATGTAGTGATTCTCTTTCTTCCCTATAACTATTACAGAAAATGAGTGTTTCAGAGAAACTTGCTGTTGAAATTCAGGTTATTTTTAAGACCTTGATATCGACATTAATTTTGTTTACGTTCATGGACACTGGGAATTTTGGAAATGGGAGAACTGATGCTCTAGCAAAGCTAGCCACGAAATGCTATATTAATTGAAATCTCTGTATTTCTATTTCTCATTGGAAGTGCTTTTACAGAAATGATGCTACCTGTATTTGGAATAGAAAATACATTATAAGGTATTTCTCCCGCTTTCCTAGTGTGCCTTAGTGGTGTAGTGGTTCTGCACGCTGGGCCGGTATTCCAGAGATATGTGGTTCGATTCCCGAAGAAGGCGATTGCTAATTTTTCATCTCTCTGGCTTCAAAAAAATCACCTAATGTCTCTACAATCTGACTTCAACAAAAGCACAGTGGACCAAAGTGTTTTTTCCTACGAGTTTTCACAGGATAAAAGTTGATCAGTTTTCAAAAGATTTTAAATTAATTCAATTTTTGACTGGACATGGCAATTTTAAAAGCTATTTAAAGCGATCTTGACTGACTTCAAGTGCTTTGTGCATCTGCGGTATCGGTGACGATGATGTTAAGCATATGAGTGTATTCTTCATGTGCAGCAGAAGAAGATACTTCAGGAAACTGTGAAGTACCTGTCTATATCTTGGCCACCATTTATTCTGAAATTTTTCAGACTAAAGAGACAATTTCTGCTTCTTGAAATTTAGTTCTCAATTTAGATTACTGAGTTATAATTATTTTATTACTTTTTGTTTTATTTTCTTTTACTTATTTTCTTTCTTAATCATTTCGATTTATTTATTATTTTTAAATAATTTTTACCCATTTTCAGTGCTACTGTATATTTTTTAACGTAAATTTTGTTGAGAAAGAAACAAAATATTAAATTCTCTTGAAGAAACACATGTTCAAAACGTCGCTCATTCGGGTTGCTTTTATGCCTTTTTGGGGGGAATATAATTTGTCACTGAATGTCTGCAGCTTTATTTAGCAAAATGTTTCCATATAGTAAAATTGCTAAGCAATATTCATGCGTAAGAACAAAAACGACTGCAATTCTTTAAAGAAATTAGCACAAAAAATACATCCTTGGTTGTAGATTTTCTTTAAAAGAGAATTGTTTTGCCTTTCTACAGCAATAATACGGATCGAAAGAGCCATATAATTACTGCTTCTTTCCTTTTCTTTTTTTTTATCCAGAGTCTTAAGAAACTAAATTTATTAAGACACAATAACACGCCGAATAAATACTAATTCAGAAGTCAAACAACAAAAATCAGCGTTATACCTACAAAATTTTCACAGGACTAGTTTCGATGGTTTTACAGAACCATCATCTTCAGCTGCAAAACCGCAAATGAACAAGATAGGAAATAATGATTAGATAAGATAAGAAAGGCTGGACAAGAATAAGCAAGTGGCGCCATCTGTTGGCGAAACCAGAACTAAAACATAATTTCTCTAAAAGCCGAAGGCAAATTTGGATTGGAATTAGGATCGTTAACTAGAACAGAAAGATTTCTATGAATGTGAAATGCCTCTAGAAAATCCAGTTCTCCAATGGAAGATGTTTTTTGAATAATTTTGGCAGCAGAAAAATTGAAAGTGTGATTTTCGGACCAACAATGTTGAGCAACAGAAGACTTCTGTGTTTCCTTTTTTCTAACATATGCCTCATGTTCTTTGACGCGAAATTTTAAGGCTCTCTTAGTTTGGCCAATGTAAATTAAACCACACTGGCAAGGAATCCTATAAATACCCCAGGAATTCATATCCGGAATGGGGTCCTTGAGTATAGAAGTTGGAATTTTATTGATGGGAGAATAAACAACCCGAAAGTTAAATTTCTGCAAAATATGTGCAACTTTATAGCTAATTGATGGAAAGAAGGGAATGACAACAGAATTTTTATAATCTCCTAAAATAAGAGTGTGGCTTTTAGTGTGTTGAGATGAGAATTTTTTTAACTGCTTGATTAATAATGTTGGGTGAAAAGCCCCTGTCAATAGCTATTGCTTTTAAATAATTTAGTTCTTCATCAAGGGCGAATTTGGAGGAGCAAACTTGAAGAGCACGGAAAAACATAGGAATAAAATGAAGCTAACTTTTGTTTAGTCGGATGACATGATTTAAAGTGTGGTGGAAGGCAAACCGATGAAGGTTTACGGTAAACTGTAGTACTGAAGTTGGATGTGTTACGTGTGACCAGAATGTCGAGAAACGGAAGAGAATTGCAAGTCTCAAGTTCAAAAGTGAACTGAATAGCAGGATCAATAGAATTCATTGTTGAAAGAACTTTATTTAAATCATCTTTATTACCTTCAAACAGGGTAAAAGTATCGTCTACGTAGCGGAACCATGCCGGAAAGTTTAAAGTTTCAAACAATTTTGATTCATAATAATGCATGTAGATATCAGCCAGGATGGGACTGAGGGGCTTCCCATGGCT